TTTCTTCATTACCCATTCAAGCCGTCTCCAGCCATTATTAGTCTCAAAGTGGGTTCCTCGTCATCGAATTATAAAAAAGTTGTTCTAGGACACGAGAGATCAGGAGTGAAATTCTCAAAAAAAAAGTAGAGGTACTCAGCTGGGTAAAGTGGACATGTTTTTGAAAAAGAAAAAAAAACTACATGTAAACATAAAAAATGACAGTTTGAGTGTCAATGAATAAATTTTTTTTGATGGAACAAGCAGCTCAAATAAATACCACCTTAAAAACTAGGTTATATCGGCAGAATTTCACCCCTGTGAGAGATGCAATACTATAGACCATGTTGACAGTGCTAGATAAGAGAATTAAATTTAATGCATTTAACACATCAGTGCAAAAAGTGGTTATTTATGATGTTTATAAACCATGTTTCAGAGTTGCAAGTATTATAAATCCATTGAATGAAAAGATGATTACATTCAAAGATTTCATATATTCATTTCAAGCAACTTTCTGTCTACAAGGTAGGTGTTTTTCATGTAATGAGAATGTGGAATTGGAAACTACTAGTTCTTACCTTTCTGTAATTAGAAAATAATATGATTTTAATTGAGTGTTATCATGAATATTTTTCCAATTTTCTTGTGCAAATGTTCTGCAGTTGATACTTTAATAACATTACACCAAGCCTGTTTTTGTGAAGTTATATATACTATAACTGTGAATTTACTAGATTAATTGTGATGAAATTTGACAAGCTTGTAAGCAACATTAAAAGTTTTTTGTACAGAAAGTCATATATTTCAATAAAGTAATTTTCCTAAAGACTTGCTTGTGAATTTCTGAATCCTTCATTGAGTCAGCCTGTGTGAAAGGTGATTGTCATATTAAGAATAATAGTTCTTTTCATCTTACAGTTTTCATATTTCATTTGTATAACCTTTAGAACTTCCTAAATGAATATTATAAGCATTTTTATTGTAAAACTTTATTTATACTTATTTTCTCTACCTTAACACTAACTGTTGAAAAATCATCAGTGTAAAGTGAAATGAAAAGTTTTAAATATGAAGTACAATGAATAATGTCATTTCCTCCCCTCCCTCTTTTATGGTTTTATTACAGTCGTTTGTAGTTGTAGCAAAGAAGTAGTAATTTTAGGAAAAAAAACAATAAATCACAGAGGGAGCTCATTAGCTGTTTCCCATAGAGTTAAAGTAAGGAACATATGATTGTGAGGTGTCCTGGCATATAGAGTTGAGCTAATGTAATTTTATACATTTTATTTTACTGAAGGTTTGTTAAGCTAAGCCGAGAAGTTTATAGTTTTTATAAGTTAGTTACTTTTGCTAAATAATACATAACAATTAATGAAAAATGTACATAAAAACAAGGATATGTAGTGCTCACTTACAATTCAGTCATTTTGCTTTCAAGTAGACATTCTTTCATAAGACCCATTGAGTCTTACAAACTTGTGTGTTCCAAAAGTGTCATACTGCTCTCGAATATGCATGCATTTTAGAACATAAAAATTATATCAGTCACTGGAATTTGGAATGTGTATAGTGCTGCTATAAATAGCGTGTGTTATGTAGAGCCACTATGTTTCTAGAAGTGACTAGTGGGTTGACACTACATATGAAAATTCATAGCAATTGCAGGTAATATTACTCCATTTTTCATCTATGCAATATGCTACTTCCTAAAATATAGATTATAATCATTTGTACATTATATATAATTATATTTTGTATAATTATATAATTTTGTATGTACGTAATTATTTTATATATATTGTTTCGGACTTATTCAGGTGATTCGAGCTGCAGTGATGGCTTGCTGGCTATCCATGATGTACTAATACATAATATATAAGAAGCTCTTTCTGTATTTTGTTTATAATTTTGTTATATGTAATATTTACTGTTTATATGTTCAGTTTAATTTAATATTAATATATTTTTAAGAAAAACTTTAGTTTAGAAGTGCCATTAAATGTTTTATTAAATTCCTGAGCTGGACAGTTCTAGCAGAAACTTTTTTTGGTTAACACGTTTCAATTGATAATACAAGATATTCACATGAACCACCTAGTTTATATTTCATGTTGGATAATTAGTTAAGAAAATCTCAGGTATATATATATATATATTATTATAAATCGTGTTTTACATTATACTAGATGGAGTAAGTTGGATGGGTGAAGTAAAAACTCGTTTGTAACAAAGAATAGGAAATTATTCCTCTATTTTATTTTCTTAACACAATAAACATTAAAAGTGCAATAAAAAATACATAAAAGTACCAATGCTGAAAAGAAATACATACTGTTTTCAAGAATTCTATCAATATGAAACTGGATGGGGGTTCCTTACCTGTGACGTTCTTCACGTCATCCTGTGTCAAGTTGTGCTGATTTGGTAGTTTTTCCGAAATTAGATATGTAATTAAATGGGAAGATCTGTACCCCCCTACCCCATGACCTTTTTCATGTCATCCTGTATCACTGTGTCAAGTTTGTTAGTGATTGATCAAGAAATGTGGTATCTTTAGATTGTGTGTAAGTTATATATCATTACTACTAGTAACATCTAATTCGTTGTTCTATTTGAGTAATTTTTTTTTGTCATTGTTAACTATGTGCCTTATCATCCTAATTTTTGTCAATGTAGAACTTAATTATGTGTCCTTTTGTGACATTTTAATAGTATACAAGTTTTAAGTTCTTAATTCTACAAGACAATATTTAAAAAAAAACCCTGAATTTCCACTAGTTTGACCAACATGACACATTTTCTCTTAGCATGTTATCATCCCTATTTTTCCACCACCCCTCGAAAAAGTAAGAAATTAAACGTAAATTACTCTCTATAAAATCGTTATTGTTCAGACAAACCATAATTTTTATAATTCTCAATTTTGTTTGGTTGCAGAGCTATCAAATAGAAAATCAGACCCCACCTGTCACATCCTCTCTTTCAGAATTCTTTGATAGTTCTCTCTTACGTTTCATTATATATTACCTATAACCAACAGAAAGTCAAGGTTTTCATCAATCAAATGACGTATTGTATAATGTTACGTTCTGAATAGTTAAATGTCAATTTCATTCAGAGTATGAACATCGTTCCAATGGGAAAGTTAACAACTAGCTTGTATGAATTTATAACGGCTCTTGTCACATTGTTAGAAAGCCAGGAAAAGTTTGAAAGGTAAGTGAATTTCTCTACTTTTTGCATGTTATTAGTCTATA